ATCTATTAGGCACCCACCTGCCAACTGGGGCTCATTTCCCTTGTTCAGATGAGGCAGTTGAGGTCTCTGAGAGGCAAATGGCTCGCTTGAGCCTGTGTGGCTGGCAGATCTGGAAATGAGGGAGGCGTGGGTGTCTGGGCACCGGCTCAGGGAGCATCTGGCTGGTGATCCATCAGACAGCGGCGGTGGGGAGGCTCTTAACACTGCCTGGTCTGTGCTCGGAGAGATGGGATGCAGGGGGAACGAGCAGGGGCGGGGAAGAATCAGCCCAGAGAGAAAGGCAACAGAAATAGCAGGGGAAGCCTGGTCATTGAGTGGCCCCAAAATGGAAAGCTCAATATTTTACTGCTGGGGAAATGACCTGTTTCCCTGGCAGCCGGCCCCACAGCCCGGCCGTGGGTGTTTCAGTGACAGCACAGCTCCTGCAGGGTCCTGACAGGCCCCGGGATGCCCTTCTCCTCCCGAAGAGAGCCCAGCGGAGGCCCCCAGGCAGCCCAGCCACGGGTGATGGGTGCAGCACGTTGGGAGGCACGTTGGGTGGCCTGCGGCTTCACTGTGAAGACCACATGTGGGGGCCTATTTGTTGTACTTGCTGTGGGATCTTGAGCAAGTCCTTGCCCTGTCTGGGACCTGGCTTCCCTGTCTGGGACCTGGCTTCCCTGGATGTAGGATGAAGGCCGGGGGGCATTGGCAAAATGTCATCTGGTGTCCAGGAAGGTTGAGACGCTTGGCCATCAGGGTGAGGGGTCCCCAGCCACAGCAGGTAAAGATGCTCTAATACGTGGAGGGTGGGGGAATGAGACAACACCCCAGCAGGAAACCCTGGGAGAGCAGTAGACTAAGAAGCAGGTCCTCTGGGGCCAGTGGGACCTGGGCTCAAGGAAGAGTCAACTCCGCCGTGACTGTCTAAACGTCCAGCCTCTGTGAGCCTCAGTCTCCCCAGCTGTAGAATGGGAGACTGTGACTGTAGCTACCGATCCTGTTGGGAGGACTAGGTGCTGTAGATTCTGCCAAGCCCTCCATGAACCCAGCAGGAGTTAGGAAGCTCCATGGAAGCTCTGTTCTTATTTATTCAGGGACTTCTGGAACCTACAGCGACCGTGTTTATTCATATAATTGCTATTTTTGTTAGGGCAATATTACAGTGGTCCCCTGTGCCTTCTAAAGGACCGTGCGGCTGTTCACATGGCCTGTCCCGCACACTCTGAGTCCCGTGGCGGGGTCGGGGTTGGGGGTTGGTTCAGGGACTTTGCAGCGGCCCTCAGGACCTCCTCTATCTGCCTGTCACCAAACACCCCTGCACCTGTGCTCCAGGTCTTCCCTGGAGATGGGGGGGGGGGGTGCTGGACGGCCTGACCCCACCAGTGTCTTCCACCCCAAGGGGTGACAGACACCCAGCCTACCTGCCGCCCCTCCGGTGGACCTGAGGCTGGGGCGCCACATGGGCCACTCAACTGGGTGACGACACCACCCTTGACTGTCTCAGAGATAATCAAGGCATAGCCCCCGACCTTGGAGAGGACTGTAGGGGGGAGGGTGCCAGGAGGCTGGGAGGTACCGTGCACGTGTTCACGCAGTCCCCACGGTGCTGGTGGCAAGAGGACAGGGGTAGAGGGGGTGGGACTCCGGCTGGGCGTAGGGGAGAGGGCGGGCCTCAGGTGGCGCCTGCGCATTGCTCTTCGGAGAAGCCGCTTTCAGGCTGTGTTGACGGTAGGGGACGGGGGCAGCTGCAGTGCCCAGGAGGCTCTGGCCGAGGTGGGAGCTGGCAGAAAGCCACCCTCTTTCTTCCCTGGAATTCCAAGGTCCCAGTGGGTACCAGGTTCAGGGGGTCACAGAGAGCCGGGGTATAGGCTCTGCCCACCTGTCATCCCTAGACTCACACCCGCGTGGAAGGGGCAGGGTCAGTGGGAATAAAGGTCCAAGTGCAGGGCCACCAAGCTCAAGGAGGGGGTAGAGACGCTTGTGCAGAGTCCCTTCTTGCTCGCTGCTCACCTTCCAGAGCCAGCTGGGCACATGCCCATCATGCCAGGCCACTGGCGGTGACCAGGGCTTCAGACCCCGGCTGCAGCTGCCACCACTGGAAACATGTCCTGTGGGCATGCGGGAGACACGGTTCTTAACGAGTGGATGAGACCCCAGCATGGCCTGGGCTTTGGAGCCTGTGGTGGGTAGGGTGGGCGCGAGGGCATCTGCCAGGGCAGTGTTAACAATACGGACGGGAAGAGTAAACTGCAGACGGCACCCTAGTTTCCACGGTGCCCCAACATCCTCCATCTGCAACCCATCCCCAAAGGGGTCTGAGAAAGAGCTCGTCCTTGCCCTGCGATGCTTTACACATTGCTGGGGGTTCCTGGGAGGAGAGGGAAGGTGCCTGACGACAAGCGTACAACCGTGCGCGCACATGCGCACCTGTGTGCCTGTGTGACCACGGGTGCAGTCAGCCATCAGCCCCCAACAGAGTGCCCCGCATACAGGAGGCGTCCACTGAAGGAACGAATGCTTGTGTGTGTGCTATGAGGGGCGGGGGCGGCGAGGAAGATTGCCACTAAGTTACAGGGTAATTCTGGAAGAAAGATCGAGAAGCTGACTTTCAGGTGCTGGGCTGTGGGCGCAGGGAGCAGAAGGGGACCAGTTCCTTAGGAAAGATAGTTCTTAAGAAATTGGCCATTGCCAAAAATTAGGAAAACATACCCAGAGCTCCTGAGTTTGAAGTCAGTGGCTCTGGTTGAAGACTAAATTAAGACATCTTTACAGAGAACAATTTGGCAACTGTTATCAAAAGCCTTTAAAATTTAGAGGATTTGTAGAACCATTCATATTCAGTTTTTCAACAAATACTTGTAAAGCTTCTACTATGTGCCAGTCATGGTGGGTGCTACCATGTACACAGTGGTGATCAAAACAGACATCCTTGGGGGCCTGGGTGGCTCAGTCGGCTAAGTGGCTGCCTTCAACTCAGGTCATGATCCCAGGGTCCTGGGATGGAGCCCCGAGCGTCAGGGTCCCTGCTCAGTGGGGAGTCTGCTTCCTCTGCCTCTGCCCCTCCCCCAACTCCTGCTCTCCCTCACTTGCTCTCTCTCAAATAAAAAAAAAATCTTAAAAAGAAAAAAAAAACCCAGATATATAATCCTTGCCCTCAGGGAGCTTACTTTCTAGGGGGAAGATACAAATTAATATAATTATCACATCAAGTATAATTACAAATTGCAGCAAATGGTTTGAAGGAAAAGTATAGGGTGCTACAAGACAGGGTAAGAACAGGGTGCACCCTAATTAGATGGGAGTGGCAAGGACAGACTTGTCTCAGGGAGAAATATTTAATACAGGTACAAACAGTGACCTGAAGGATGAATCAAGGTCAGGTGATGAATGGGGATGGGGAGAGGACGAGTATTTGAGATCACATATAGTGTGTCCAAAGGCCCTAAGGCAGAACAGAGATTGTTTTGCTTGAGGAGTTGACTAAAGGCTGGTGTGGCTAGAATACAGTGAGGGACAGAAAGAGGAGATGGGGCTGGAGGGGCCAGATCATATAGGGTCTTGTAGGCCACATTACCGAGTTTTGATTTTACCCTAAGGGTAGTGGATAGTCATTGGAAGGTTCTAAACAGAGGAAGCGATGACATGATCCACTTGGAGCGGAGAATGAGTCGGAGGGGCTGAAAAGTGGAAGAGGGCAGATGAATCGGGAGACCTCAGCAGCCAGGAAGGGAGATGTTGATGTCGGTGACCAGCAGGATCCCAGGGACGATGTGGGAAAGAAGGTGACTCGAGGACGTGGTGTTTGAGTACGGATTGGATGTGCATGAGAGGGAATGGTCCAGGTGATGCCAAAGAACTACATGGCAGGCAGGAAAGGGAGGAGTGGGCCATTTCAGTGAGTGGTCATGGAAGAGGGGCGAGTCCTTGGGGTGGGTAGGGGAGAAAGTAATGAGAAAGTCAAGGATCTGAGAAGCCAGAGGGGCGACCGGTCATCCACACGGCTGTAGAAGCCCCCAAAATCAATTATAACGACAAGAGGGAAAACAAAAATTGCCCAACTATTCAGGGTGGTTAGGTAAATGAGGGTTTATCCACTGGGCAGCGGATCTGACAACCGCTAAAAATACGGGTGGTACCTTGGGGCAGTATGGAAAGGTGTCTGATAAATGTTGAGTGGGAGAGAACATTCCAGATATCAAGAATGGCTGACTCCTTTGGGCTAAAAAGCCTTACTACAAACTTTAATTTTTTTAACATTTAATTGAACAAAGAACAGAAAAGTGCACCAGCCACAAGCAGAAGGCTCTGTGGGTTTCAATGTGTGGCCAGCACCCAGATCGATCGATAGAAACACCCTTGGTATCCCCCCCACCGCCCTCTACAAACTTCCACCAATGTAGCCACAGTCTGGACCATAATTGGTTTTGCCTTCAATCTTATTTGATTTGTCATTTAAAATTTTTAAAGAATGTATACAAATGTGACATAATTATTTCCTCCTTGTAGATAGAGGGGAATTTGACCAAGGGTCTCTCAGAACTACCAAAAAAAAAAAAAAAGTGGTTAAATCTATGTGTTTTAAAGCAAAGGAAAGGGGGAAACAGCGGGGTTTGATTCATTCTCTTTTCTGGAGTTTCCACAGGAGCTTGTACTATTTTCGTAGGAAAGAAACCACTAAGTGGGAAACAGCAGGGTTTGATTCCTTTCTCCAGAGTCTCTTCGATGAGCGTGTACTATTTTTGTAGGACAGAAACCACTAGGTTAAAAAATATCAGAGCACTGACTTTCCATGAGCCCAGCTCTGTCGGGAGGCTCCCCGTGCTATCTGTGGACCTCAGCAGAATCAAGTGACCCCGCCGCTGTCTGGGGCTTGGTACTGACCCCAGCATGCAGGTGGGGGCCTAGAAGAGGACCTCTGGTGTCCCTCCCAACCAGCCTCCCCAGTCAGCCTCACCCCAGCTCCATGAGCATCTCAGGGTCGGGGGAACCTCACACTTGTCCCTCCTTCCCTCTCACAGGTGGAAAAACTTGTGAAATACCTGGATCCCAACGACCTGGGGAGAATCAACTTCAAGGACTTTTGCCGAGGGGTGTTCGCCATGAAAGGTGAGAGCTTCATGGGAGGGAGTCTCTCAGGCTCCTGTCCAGCTGCAGAGGCTGGCCTGACTGCGGTTTCAGCTGGGGCTCCTCCCAGCAGTGCTGAGGAGAAGGATCCGGGGCTCCTGCAGCTGCCGCAGCCATGCAGGGGCCGTGGGAGGGTCTCTGAACCAGTGGGACGGTCACTTCCACCCTTCCCGTCGTCTGTCCCACAGAGAAAGGCTCCCGATTGCTTTCCTTCCTCCTTGCACCCTCCTCCAGGTCACCTCCCTCCAGGATGACCAAACCGTGGGCAGAGCCAGACACCCATTTTCTCTTCTTTTTCCTTTGTTTCCTCCCCTCTCTTCCCCCCCCCCCGCCCCAGTCCCTTCCTACCTCCCAGCTCTCCCCCTTGAAGGGGCAATATACCATCCCTCTCTTTTCCCCAGTTCAGAGGCAGTTGTGAGAGAACCCCAGGCATCAGAGGCCACTCATGGCCACTCTTACCACTAAACTGCTTGTCTGGAGAAAGTGGCTGAGGTCGCCAGACAGGTGGGCTGTGTCCTCTTTGGAGCTTTCCTGCCACCTGGGAAGGAAGCCATGTTTTCCTGTCAGAATGATCCATTCTCTGTGGGGGAAGCTAGGGTTCTTGGAGGGTAGGAAGGAGGCAGGAATGACTTCCTTGAAAGTGGGGTGTGATGCGAAGGGAGCTGAGAGGTTGGGAGGGGCTGCACACGGCCCCCTTAAGGTCTTCTGAATAGAACTGGCTGGAGGACCACCACCAACCCCACCAGTGTGTGTATACACCAGTCGCTTTGCAGGTTTGACTGCCTTTATCTGAAAAGATACTGGGGCATTTGCTCAGAAACAGTGGAGGGACGCCACCTGTGTAACCGAGTCAGCAGGAGGTAGTGTCATCCTGAGGGTGACCCTCTCCTAGATGTCCTGGAGTTGGCAGGGCCGTTGAGGGCCCCAGGCTCAGGGGAATGTGTGCCTTTGGCATTTCTGTGAGCCAGGCAGGGAGTATTGCCTTATAGCCCTTCCTCCAGGAAGGCCTCCTTGATTCTCTTTGCACCTGACCTGCCTTCTGCATTTGGGACTCTCTCTTTCATGTGTTCTCTGTTGGGGTTAATCCCTGTGGGAGAATGCCTGGAGGGAGGGACCTGTCTCTGTCCCCCCCCCCCCCCCCCCGCCCCGTGGAGTCCTGGCCCAGCTCCTCCATGGCCCAGTGTTCCATCTCTGCCTTGGAAGGATCAGCCGGTCTCTTGGAGGCTTGGGCCCTGTGCCTCCCCGACAGCCCTTCTTTCCCAAGGCCCAGGAACCAGAAGCAGAGCTGCTGAGGCCCTGAGCCTGCGCTGTCTGTCTATCCACAGGGTGTGAGGAACTGCTGAAGGATGTGTTGTCGGTGGAGAGCGCGGGGTCGCTGCCCTGCACGCCGGAGATCTCAGACTGTGTGGAGCAGGTAAGGGGGCGGAGGCCCAGGGGAGGAAAGGGGAGGAGGAGCCTCCGGAGGGCCCGTCTTGCCCTTTCTGATCTTCCTGCCTTTGCTCTACTTTGTTGTGTCTCGAAGACTGTTTAAGTTCAAAGTCAAGAAGTAGCTTTCGGAACCTGAGAAATGAAGCCCCTTGGGAAGCCACAGCAAAGAGGGTAGGGACCAGGAGTCCTCCCAGAGCACCTTTATTCCCCACCCTTGGGTTCCAAGGGGAAACTGAGTCCCAAACAGGGAAAGTGACAGACTTGAGGTCAATGGCAGACGGGACAACAATTTTTCTCTTTTCCCCTGTGTCGCAACCCACAGAGACAACTGACCCCTGAGTGGTTTTCCCCCAGACAGACTGCCAGTTCTCAAGCACTAGCCAGGGGCCTAGCAGTTCCTTCCGCTGAGTACCAGAGTTAGGGCAGACCCCGGGCTGAAGGACGCAGCCCCACAGGATCGCCCCATGGAGGGGCAGCCACAGATGGGGGTCCCAGGCTCTCCGCACCTGCACTGGCTGAGCACAAATGTGGGGATTCCCACAAAGCCCCTCAGGTTCCGGAACTCACTGGAACAGCTCCCAGAACTCAGGAGCACACTGTGTTTGGGATAATTAGTTGATTATAAAGGACACGACCCAGGAACAGCCAACTGGGAAAGACACGAAGGGCAAAGCATGGGGGTGGGCGGTGCAGAGACCCCATGCCCTCCCCACCCCCGCCGCCTTCCCAGCACACCAGCACACTCAACAACCAGGAGCCTTCCAAACTTCAATAACCCCATAGGCGGCCCCTCTTGCCTCCCAAGGTGGGGTTGTGGGTGAGCTGGACGTTTCCACCTTCTAGTCTTTCTGGTGACCAGACCCATCTTGAAGCTCTCTAGGGGCCCCACTGGTTCACCTCTTTAGTATGAACTCAGGTGCGTTGGGGAAGGGCTCCTCATGCATGACAAAAGACACTCCCATCACTCAGGAAGTTTCGGGAGCTTTAGGAACTCTGTGCTAGGAAGTGGGACAAACACCACTGTCTCCGGGGCTCTTTTTCCTTTATCTTCACCTAATGGTTATTCTTTTTACTATAAAACTTTGAATTCTTTTTCCAAACACACGTGGCTACATCCTACAGATGGACACAGGTTAGGGTGATCGTGTTGACAGTCACCAAGGACCCTCTGGGCAGGACACCCTGGAGCTGGAGGAGGATTATCTTGGTTTCCCATCCGGGTCAGCTCAAAAAACCTTTTCTCTGCCTCCTGTTGGTGTCTTGTCTGGACCCTCCAAACATAAGTATTTTCTGCGGAGGAAGGAGGTCCAGGACCCCAGAGGTCACTTTGGCTGGGTGGTGGGGTCGGGGTTGGCACTGGATCAGTGGGAGTCCTCACAGAGGACCACAATGCTGGTGGGGGGGTTGGGCAGCAAAATGGTGTTGGAGAAGCCCAGGCTCAAAGGCAGCAGAGGCCAGAGCCAGGCCCCAAGTCCTGGGGACAGGACCTCCCACACAGAGACCAGGCGCCTGGCCCCCAGGGACGAGTGATGAGAGCTAGACTCCAGGCCTGCCTCACAGGCCAGTGGATGTGAGGTGAATATGCATTTGGGCCCAACTAATGGGACGGCGGCCAGGATCAGGGCAGAAGGCTCTCCACATGGGACAAACACTGAGCATCCCCAGTTTTTCAAGTGGGCCCTTGTGGACTGCTGAGCAGGAAGGCCGTGGGGTCACTCAGGGCTGGGTCCATACCCCACTGGGGCCCCTGACTAGGTATGCAAACCAGACACACTGCCTCTGGCACTCCTTTGGGCCTCAGTTTCCTTAGCTGTAAAATGGGGCTGGCCATGCCTCTCTAGGGGGCCTGTGGAAATCAGTGAGAAAATACTAATTTTCTAATCAGCTAATACATGAGGCCTCCCTTCCTCCCCGTGCTGTGTCGTAGTGGTTAGAATGAGAGTGCTGTGCTCATTCTACTTTACCCTTGGATACCGGCATTTCATAAGTCTGTCAAAAAAGAGGGCTGCCCACGAGGAGCTGGAGGGCAGAGTAGAGCGGGCCAGCCCCCGCCCCGTCCCCCGTGCCAGTGTTGCCCGAGCAGGTCCTGTTCCTGCAGCACGAGGCTGCTCTCTTGGCCCCCATGTGTGGCCGTCCATGCTTCTGCAAGAAACGGTAAAAATAGACCCAGAAGCCTTGGGCTCCAGGATGCTGCTTTGCTTTTGGCTCAATGCTGTTTTCCAAAATACAAAATCTGGAGGTTTGAGGAAGCAGGAAGAACATGCCAGTTGAACCTCAGCCCCCACCCCCCGGTGTCCCTTGTTTTCTCTCTTGGGACCTTCCTGCAGATGTGTCTTCATTTCCCTTTGTTGCAGCCCCTCTGGGGTGAGCGCATCATGCCATCCATGTAGGTTACTTTGAGGTGTCTCCGTTGGCTGGAGCCTGGGGAGGGGGCAACTGATCGCTGGATGCACTAGGCAGCCTTGTTCTGGGGCATTCCAACCAGGCAGCTCAGTGGACCTGGGCTCTGTTCCTTATGATGGGCTCCCTAGTGATGGGAGCTGGGAGGAGCAGGGGTTAGGGAGGAGGACAGGTCAAAAGCCAGCCGGCAGGGCCTGTGGGCTCCTGCAGGACCCCAGGCCTCCGTGATGGCAATGAATCCCCTTCCTGGCTCAGCCTTCTGGAATGTGCAGCTCTGGGCTCCATTGGGCTGACCACCCACAGCTCCTCAGGTTGGGGGAGATGAGGGGGCCAGCCTGGGCAGGTCTTAACCCTAAAGACTGGGTCCTCAGCACCCTGCGGTGTCCCATCTGTCCCCTAGGGGTCAGCTTGAGACCGACCAGAACCTGGATCACTCAGGCTTCCAAAGTGCTAACCAGAGACAAAAATAAATGCCGGGGTGGTTTGGGAACCCTATGGGGAGGACACAATGATGGGACAGCAGGAGCTCCCCCTCCTCTCCTCAGAGTGTAGGGGTCTGGATGGGGGAAAGGGTGTAGGCAGGTGGAGAGCACCTCCCACCCAACAGGGTGGTGAAATGAAAGCAGAGCCCACAGACGCTGTAAGAGCCTGGGCCCTTGGTCATTCTCCCTCGTGGGCTGATTAATAGGGAACCCCATAAAATGAATGGGACATCCAGCTGCCTGCTCCTCCTATGAAACTGCCGCGTCAGTGAATGATGTCACCAGCCAGTCCGTCCCCAAGCGAGGAAGTCATTCTTGACGCCCCCACAGCCAGCTAGCCTCGAATCCCCTGAGGCCCATTCACCCCCTTTTCCTTCTTCCACTGCTGCCTACAGCTCGCCTCGCTGCCCCCAGCCTTCTCCTCTCCAGACCCTTAGCCCGGTGCCTCAGCATCTTCCTAAGGAACTGCTCCGTCTCTCCCTTCTGTGACCCCTCATCACCAGTGGGATAAACTCAGTTTGCACCTGCTTCTCCAGCCTCATCTCTCAGCACCCCGAGATTGGTGACACCCAGCTGTTCCTTATTTTATGTAAAGGCCAAGTTCTCTCTTGCCTCCCAGACGTTGCACAAGTTTTGTCTTTCTCCTCGGATATCCTCCCACGCACTATCCCTGGGCTAACTTCTACTCATTGCTAAGACTCACACCTCCTCTAGGAGGCCTCCCCTGGTTCGCTCTGCCCCAGCCTGTCTCCCCTCTCCCCAGCCTGGAGGAGAACCTGCACTGAGCCTCCTTGAGGCCCTGGGCCTTAACCTCAGCCTCCACGATGGTTCCAAGTCCCCTCCCCAGGGACACCGTTTTCACCCTGTGGTGGCAGGGCTCGCTTGAACTGACCTTGTCTCTACATCGAACACATCCTTATTCATGGTGCATAGAGCGTTTCTCTAAGTATTTCCAGGATTAGAAATCTGAAAATGCTGATTCAAAGGGTATGCAGGCTTTTTTTTTTTTTAATAGATGTGTCCAAATTTTTCTTCTAAAAAGGTGATACCGATGTATCGCCCAACAGCATGTGGGCCTGCCCATCACCAAGCCTTAGCTTTCTCCTTTGGGGAGTTACCGGTTCATAGTCTCTGCTCATTTTCCTTTAGGTGGTTTGTCTTTTCCTTATTGATTTATAAGACATTTATATATATTCTGAATGTTAATCCTTATGTATTTTGCTTGTATTTTAGTCTTGTTTTTGGCGTCTTTTATGGTATAGAATTTTAAAATTCTTAAGTAATCATTACCCATCCTTTCATACCATTTTCATTTGATGCTTCTCTATCTCAAGGCTATAAACATATCCCCCTATATGGTTTATTTTTTTCCCCCAGTACTTTTAGACAAAAGATGTTATTCTTAGCTCTTTGGTCCCCTGTGGCATATTTTTGGTTTTGCTGAGGATGAGCATTTGATGAGGATCTGGTATTATTTTCCAAATGTTGCCAGGGGTTTAAGCCCCTCCTGTCAGATAATCCCACTTTCCCCACTCACTTGGGATTTCACCCCCTTCTCGTATGCTAAATTTCCTTATAAACATGGTTTCTTTCTGGACTGTGATCTGTTCCATCAGTCTATCTTTCTGTTTATTTCTGAGCCCAAACTAGTCTCAGCTACCATTCATTGCTTCATAGTTTGATATCTGCTAGAGACAATCTCCTTCAACCTTCTTCACTTAAAAACGATTTTTGTTTTTATGCTTACACATTTTCTCTTCCAGAATACCTTTTTTGTTTTATTTATTTATTTTAAAATTTTATTTATTCATTTACTTGACAGAGAGAGACACAATGAGAGAGGGAACACAAGCAGGGGGAGTGGGAGAAGGAGAAGCAGGCTTCCTGCAGGCCAGGGAGCTCGATGTGGGGCTCGATCGCAGGACCCTGGGATTGTGACCTGAGCCGAAGGCAGACGCTCAACAACTGAGCCACCCAGGTGCCCCCTTTTTTTGTTTTAAAAAAAGATTTTACTTATTTATTTGTCAGAGAGAGGGAGATCATAAGCAGGCAGAGAGGCAGGCATAGGGAGAGGGAGAAGGAGGCTTCCCGTCAAGGAGGGAGC